TATCTTCTGTGTCAGCAAGCACATTTGTACTCGAGTTGGGACAGAGCCAAAGTTTCCTAATTCACAGTATCAGCTGCTAGATCACAGATGCTTTTTTGCTCGTGGAGGATGGCTCTCTCTTTAAATAAAACTGTTTTAATATCTTAATATCACGTTTGCGACTTCATCTGTTGCGGACTCGATTTATTGTCTCCACTAGGTCTTAATCACCTGTTGCAGTTCTCACTGTAATTTATTTGCTGCTCTGTCACTTCCTTTTACTCGCTTTTCTTACCGTACTGTTGAGATGCCTCTCACTTTGATTCTCTTTTCCTCCTTTTCTTGACAAAGTAATAAAAGTTCTTCCCACAGCTGCTATAATCTGATAGTTTTGCAGGAACTCCAGAATAACATTCTTTTTTTTCTGAAAAAGCTTACAAGTTGTGTTGACAGCATCTGCAAATAAAGGAGAAAAATGCAGTGTCTGTGTATGACATGGTGTGCTTTCAAACTACTGTTGATATCTTTCTAATCTGTATGACTGCATTTTGAGAAGAAAGAACCTACACTTTCTCATTTTTTGAATTAAAAAAATACACTTTCTAGAATTTTAATAATAATGTAGGACATTTTTTCATGGCTTCCTGACAGGCCGGTAACAGCTGTGTCAACCTTAGACAAATATGGAAGTGAAAGCAGACCAGACATTGCTCTGAACTCTCCAAAAATCAGTAAATGATATAAGCCATTTAAGTAGTTTGAAATTTTGGATTTTTTTTCAAGAAGTGGTAGTTGGGTTTATTCTCCTGTCCTAAGTTAGGATCAAGTCTGTCTAAACTATTTCTGCCAGTTATTCATCCACCTTGTTCTTCAGAATCACTAACCAAGGTGATTTCTTAGGCTCTTACTGTGCTTAGCTGACTTTGCAGGAAAAGTATCCCTGGGAGCCGTCGCTGGAGGCCAAGGTGCTGCCCTCTGCTTAGTGCCGGTGAGGCTGTATCTGCACTACTGGGTCCGTGCCTAGACTGCACAGAGCAAGACAGACGTGGGCTAACCAGTGCCACAAAAGGCCACCAAGACGTGAAGGAATTTGAGCCTCCGTCGCATGAGGAGAGGCTGGGAGTGTTTAGCCTGGAAGAAGAACAGGCTCAGGAAGCTTCTGATTAATGCATATAGACATCTGAAGGGAGGGTATAAAGAGGATGGGGCCAGACTGTCTTCACTGGTGCCTGTTGAGAGGATAAGAGGCAACAGCACAAACTGAAACACAGGAGATTCTGGCTGAATCTACAGAAAGAAAAACAAAATGCACACACTTTTTCTACTTTTTTGTTCAATGAGCAGATTGTCCAGAGAGGTCATGGAGACTCCATCTTTGGAGATGCTTGAAATCTGACTGGATATGCTGCTGGGCAACCTGCTGCAGTTGACTGCAGCAGTAAACGGGTTGAACTAGGACATCTCCAGAGGCCGCTTCCAGCCACAGCTATTCTGTGATCCTGTCTCTTGTTTTCCATCTCTGCCCCCCGCTGCCATGCAGGTCTCTTTGTCCTGCGTGGATGACTCCCCCAGAACTACGTGGCCCACGCATTAGGCTTTGCCGCTGACCAGTAGTGTAGAGCTGGGGACACTTTCTTTGGGAAGAATGGTGCAGTGCATGGGCAGAGCCTGCTCCTGCAGCAGGACTTGGCTTGAACTGGGGCTCTCGAAACACAGGGACTGAAATCTGCTCTCCACCACAATGGCTCCATCCAGCAAGTGTTGTGGTATGACAGGTCAAAAATGCTAGTAAAGCAAACTTAACATGTTACACTAGCTGGCATTTTTTTTAATACTTTTTTTTCTGCTCATATTGCTAGCACACAGAAACACAGTTCTCTTTTTGGGCTGTTGGAGTTGCTGTGTCATGCTAGTTTTTTTTCCTTCTCTCAAAAATAGCCTTTCCTTTTTTGTGCAAACAGTGCTGATAACACTCTTCTTGTATTGCTACAGTTGGGTCGGATCGTGACTTACCCATTATGGTTAATCTACTGGACCTTCACGAGGATTTTCAGGAATCCTCATCCGGCAATTACTCTGAAGGATCCTGAAGTGAAGTATGCATTGAGGCTGATTGATAAAGAGGTGGGTCCCTGTGCGGTGCTGAGTATGTAGACACCACTCCATGAATACTGCGAAATGCTTATAGCTTCCTAAATCTGGGGTAATGATGCAGCAGCTCTGTAATTTATTGGGAATTGTAGGTGTTTTGAAGGTTACTGAATTTTGTTTCTAATCATACAAATGTTTATATTTTAAGGGAGTTATTTATGAATGCCCCTTGCTTAATAGGTCTGAAAATTTTAGATTTCCTTTCAATAAATTGAACATCAAAAGTATGAGATAGGAATCTTGGCTTTTAGGTGTGGAGTTATACCTAAGGATACCTATAGTATTGACTTTTAACAGCATGGATTTAAAATATTTGCCACAGGTGGGGTTAGCTAAAAAAAAAATCAGAATCATTTTGATAAGGACTTCAGATTGGAAAAGTCCTTTCTTCAATGTATGCAGAAACCATTGAGAGTTTAGCCTTTTGTTCTGCCTGTAAAAGAAACAATTATCAAGACTGTG